CATTAAAGCTAAGGCTGACGAACAGTCCTATCCAAAAAAATTCTCAACACCCTCAACAACATTGGTATCTGTCTGGTTTCTTCAAACTTGACACAAGGCAACACGTTTCGTTGGTTGGACGGTTGGTTTCATGCACAGCCTGGGGGTATTTGCGATTGAAGTTCAAACACCTAATTTCCACAATGCGTTTTTTGGCCGCCGGTTTTTGCAGCAGTTCAAAAGGCAGTCTCCTTCTTGTTCAACGTGGTGGTGTGCTCCAGTTTGTTTGTAGTTCTTCATGCACAACCAGCAGGTTGTCCTTTTCAGGGGGGATCGGTCACGTGCTGCATTGGTCTGTTTCGAAGCTCGTTCACTAAGGTCGACTATGTTCCGCTTTCGCCACCGACACAAATGTTGTTTCCTTTTCCTCATTTTTTGCTGCAGATTCTGTTTAGTATTCTCTTGTGTGATTCTGCCCTGGCTAGCTGCACCCACCACTGCCATGATACAGAGCAGAGAGGACGATGGACAAAATATTTAACTAACGAACATGGATACGCAAAATAACTTTTGACTTATTATTAAATGCCTATTTATCTGTGTGACTTATCACAGGAAGTGATTATTACTACTTTGAACTGTTGTTGGGTAATTTGAACCGAATTCTGTCTCTCTGTCAAATGTGATGAATGGGGACCCCCACAAATTCCATGTACGACTAATGAGGTCTCTGCATAAAAATATTCAACGAGTGCGACCCCATTTGTGTTTCTGCCTCGGTCTTCTTTATTGCTTTCACTGTCAATGCAAGGACGATTTATCTCAATTTAAACAACGTAGGTAATGGTAATAGATCAAAAGGGACATAAGAACAGAAAAATTGATTGAGAATAATGTACCTTGTGCAGTGACACCCAATCCTGAACAGACTGAGAATTTGTGAAGGCAAATCGACAGACTCTTTACAAATCCGAACAGATTGGCATACTTTTGGAAGTGGATAACAGGGACAACACTGTCTTGCATTTGGCTGCAGGCACCATTTCCAACACTGAAAGAACTTGGCAGATTGCTGGTGCCGCCATGCAAATGATGTGGGATATCAAGTGGTATCAGGTATGCGCATGTTTTGATCTTCATAATATTATCCAGGCCAATCCTTGCACATTCAGCACACACCTATGTATACATACATTGCATGATCATGCATGCATGCATTGATGCAGTACGTGAGAGCCCTGGTGCCAGAACATTTCACATTCAGAACGAACAAGGACGACAAAACCGGTGGGGAGATCTTCAAGCAGAAGCACAAAGACCTGGTGAAGGAGAGCTCTGAGTGGCTGAAGGAAACCTCCAACTCCTGCTCGGTGGTGGCTGCCCTAATCGCTGGCGTCTCTTTTGCCACCTCGAGCTCCGTGCCTGGCGGCACCGACAATGGAAAGCCGGAGCTGGAAGGGCAGCCGGCTTTCGACGCGTTCGCCATCGCGTCCCTGATCGGGCTCTGCTTCTCAGTGACCGCCCTGATCATGTTCCTGGCGATCCTGACCTCCCGGAAACAGGCGCAGGACTTCCGGAAGAGCTTGCCATTGAAGCTCCTGTTCGGCCTGAGCTCTCTCTTTGTCTCCATTGCTTCCATGCTGGTTTCCTTCTGCGCTGCGCATTTCTTCGTGCTGAAGGACAAGTACAAGAACATCTTGTTCCCTGTCTACATTGCCACTTGTTTGCCTGTCACTTTCTATGCAGTGGTGCAGTTTCCTCTCTATGCTGATCTGCTTAAAGCCATTTTCAAGAAGGTCCCACAACCAAGTATTACCAGCAGCCAATTTTAGAGGACTTTTTCTTCACTCCGGATTTTCCATTTGGTGTATCCTCTGTTATGCTTTTATAATAAAGTGATTTTGATATAATAACTTCTTTTAATATATTTAAAATATATTTTGAAGGCAGAAAATATAAACAACATACAAAAACTCATCAATAACTAAAATTTGTTTTTCTTTTAACACTTCTTATGATCATCAGACGGTCTGCACGCTTGATCATTAAACGATCTTCATGCTTAGTTTAAACAATCTTACGGTCTTGCTTCTATTTCTCTGTTTTTTTTTCTCTTCCTCCCTTTTTATATGTATGCTCGTCGATTGCGCTTTTACTTCTGTACACTTTCAACATATTTATAGTCAGATTTTTGGTTTCTTAGTGATGTGCTTTCTCTATTTTCTTTTCTTCTTATTTACGTGTGATGGAATCAAAACACTTTGAAAACGGATGAACTCGAATAGAAGGTCGAGATGAAATGGTTCATGGTAAAGATCAAGACACATCGATTCATATTAAAAGTCAAAACAAATAGTATGAACCAAAAGTCGAAATAACCTGATCTAGACCGAAGGTTGAGATGGACAATCCTAAACCAAAGGTCGAGATGATTGAGAGGAGCTGAAAGTCAAGATAGATCGGATTAAGCCGAAGGTCGATATTGATTAACCAGGGTTATAGGTCAAACCCAACTCAAACATTGAGAGATGTTGGCACGACACGAAGGATGAGATGGGTCAGTTAGGACAAAGGTTGAGACAGGAAAACATAAACATAAGGTCGAGACAAACCAAACTGGATTGAACGTCAACACTGAGTAGTTTGAGCTGAAGGTCAAAACAAGTTGGCCTAAGCTGAAGGTCATGATGGGCCAAAAGAGGTCGAAGCTAAAGGTTGAGACTGGTCACAGTAAGTCGAAGGCTAAGATGAACTGACTTGTACCGAAGGTCGCAAACTGGCTAACCTGAGTCAAAGGTCGAGATTAGTTAGTTGAGACCGAAGGTTGAGGTAGGCCGGTCGTGCCGAAAGTTAACACAGACTGACCTGTCCTGAAGATCGAAATACACCGTCATAGATCAAAGGTTGAGATCGACCAGCTTGAGCTAAATGTTGTTATAGACCAGTCTAAGGCAAAGGTTAAAACGGATTGACCCAGGCTAAAGCTCGTGATGGGTTAACCCAGATCAAAAGTTGAAACGAATTAGCACAGGAAGGAGGTAAAGACAGGTTTTCGAAGGTCGAGGTAGGCAAACCTATTTGAAGGTTAAGATAGACCAAACAAACCAACCCAGGTCAAAGGTGGAGACATGTCATCTTAGGGTGAAGGTAGAGATAAACCAAAGGTGGAGATATGGAGAATTAGGCCAAAGGTGATGACGGGTCGGCCTAAGTCAAAGTGGAAACGGGTGGTCTAGACTATAAGTCGAGATTGGTCAGCGAAGGACAAATGTCGAGAATGTTGACCCAGGCTGATGGTTGAGACAACCACACCCAAAGTTCTAGACATGTTTTCCTACGAAAAAGGTGGTGATGGGAAGGATTGGGCCGATAGTCCAATAAGATATTTAAAAAAATTAATATTCTTTCATGTTTAAAGAAACCTTATGGATTTTTTGTGACTAGTTTGGTCATATAGGATTTTTCAATCACTAGTGCAAAAAAGGCTTTCAAAATCGTCCAATATGCTTCGATTTTATGAAAAACGAAGTTTTTCAAAATGCGGTGACATTTTTAAAATTTTTTACACAACTATAAGGTTCGATTATAAAATAACTTAAGTATATACTCGTATATTTTTTGTTCTTTAAAGAACCTTGTCCAATCATGCTTCCGTGAGTTTCAATTTGTTTTTCTCCACCAAAATTGCTACCTATTCATTTATTTTATATTTATAAACAAAGAGGTTATAGGTAAAACAACCATATAACAACTAAAATACAAAACTATATCAAATACACTAAACTTGAGTATGACATAAGATTAAAGCTAGGAGAAAGTTGATTTATTCATGATAATAAACACACAAAAGTAGGTAAAATTGGACGTTATCAGTTTCTTCCGTTAAATTAGAGTTAATTTCGTTTGGAAGGAGACTACATACTAGTCCAATAAAAGGTTCAATTAGTAATTTGATTCCTATATTTAGGTTTATGAGATGTGGTCCCTATATATTTTTTTTTTACTTAATTAAGTCTCTATATTTTTTTTAATAGAGACAATGTAGTTCATTTCTTGAAATCGGTGCTAACATCATTAAAAAGTGACAATGTGTAAATCCAAACTCTCTTCTTCATCTTCAACCCCTTCTTCTTCGACCCCTTCTTCTTCAACAACATAATCCTACTGATATTGGTTTCTTTTAAATCCTTGATTCTCTCCTTCAGATTCAAGATATCCAAGAAAACCCTTACGATTTCACCATTATGGTTGCAGAATTTGTAGTATGCTACACTAGTGCAGTAAAGGGAAACGACAGCGGTTATTTTCGCTTATAGGAAGCAGTTTCGCAACCGAGGCATATATAGACGAGGTAAAAAGGGGTAGACTTTTTGCCTGGGTTCTAAACCGGGTCAAAAAGGTTCAGATTGTGCCTCGGTTCACAGACAACCGAGGCAGTAGAGTGTTTTTAATTTTTACTATTTTGTTCTAATTTTCTATGCTCTTTCGGTTTCTCTTTTCCTTCTCTTTGTGCCTTGATCCACATTTGACCCTTGCGGCTCTTGAACTTGTGTTGTTCCTGCATTACACCAGTCTCGGGGTCTACATACACCATTCTCCTTGCACTGTGGTATGCCCACACATTCACAAGAAGCTCCAGAAGCCGTGAATAACAATAATGCTTGTTCTCACTCAACCACAATTTCTTTCCAGGCAAACTCCAACTTGCACTAACAACCCAGATTTTCAACCTAGATTTTCAACCACAATCATCACCATCCACCCCAAGACCATTGTCACTGCTCGTCGAACAAAGAATGTGTGAAGCGCTGAAGACGCAGTACCAGGTTGCTCTACTTTTTCTTTAACTTGCTCTTCTTGCCCATCGATACTGTCATAAGGATTTTCAAGAAGAATCAGATGGTCGATTGCTTAGCAAATCTCTATCAAAGTGTTGAGAATCTGAATAAAACTTACATGCAACTAGACCTACATAAGGATCTACTATTGAAACCAAGTGCCCTCGTTTCTTCACGAATCTCTGGTCTTCTTCCTTCAGTTAATGATAGTTCTTCCAACAACTCCACGAATGTGTTCTACCGGTGCCCAAGTCACTATGGTCACGTCACATATGATAACACCACTCGTTGTCCTGATTGCTATTGTGGCAATTCTATGAACTCGCAAATGATTTTTATTGGTGAAAAGGTTGCAAATGAAATTTCTGCCGACAGTAGTGGTTTTGTGAAAGAAGTAGTAACTTACATGGTGATGGATGATTTAATAATTCAGCCCATGTCAAGCATATCAAGCATGTCGAATGAAGAATGTGCGAAGCACTGAAGACGCAGTTCCAGGTAAATGAGGAGATTGGTCGTGGACGCTTCACGACCATCTTCCATTGTTTCCACCCTCTCTCTAACGAACCCTACGCTTGCAAGGTCATCGACAAGTCTCTTCTTGCCGATTCCACCGACCGTGAGTGTCTCTAGAACGAACCAAAATTCATGACCCTTCTCTCTCCTCATCCTAACATCCTTCAAATCTTTAATGTCTTCGAGGACGACGATTATCTCTCCATCGTCATGGACCTCTGCCAGCCCCACACGCTCTTCGAACACATCATTAACGACCCCATCTTCGAGACCCAGGCGGTCATCCTCATCAAGAGCCTTCTCGAAAGCCTGGCCCACTACCATCGCATGGGCGTGGCCCACTGTGACATCAAGCCCGACAATGTTCTCTTCGACTCCACAGATAATCTCTTCGCCATTGTAGCATCGTCGAGAAAAAGGAGAGGATGATAGGCGTTAGGTTTTCCTGGCTTGAATGAGGCATTTGGGAAAAAATTTCCTCTTTCGCTTGTTAGGAACGCTTATATGCCTTAGTCCATCATGCCAACCGAGGTAGTATCTTTGCCACCAGAAAGGTACAAGTGAAAGGTCTTATTAGTGTAATATCTGTGGGGTTTATGCCTCAGTTCACCCTGCCAACCGAGGTAATATTCCTTTTAGACATCAGCTGCTTGACAACTGAGGCATATAGTGTTCTAAAAATGACGAAATTGCCACTGCGTTTTGATATGCTTCTATTTTTCTGGAACCAAAGTGTAATGTGAGTTAAAAATGCGATTTTTACTAGTGCTATGAGACATATCAAATCAAAAAATATGGATGAGGAACTTTGTCACAAGGTTGCATATTGTGGAAGGAATTGAAAGATCACTTAAGTTATACTATAAGATCAAATCAACTGGATTTTATTATAACAACAATAGGAGTTCGAGCAAATCAAAACAAATTGACATCAAGTTCCTAATTGTTAAAGAAATATAAAATGGACAATTTTTCATAAAACACAGGAGAAACTCCATGATAGTTGATCATCTTACTAACGGACTTCCAACCAAAGTCTTTCATGAGCATGTGCTCGTATGGGTGTTTTTTCTGTTTGAGAAATGTTTGGTTTAATGGGAGTTAGTAATTTTTATGTTTTTTGTATTTTATGTTTTATTTTTATGTATGTATACATTGTCTTTTGGACATATTTGGTTTTATGAATATGTAGTTTATTATTCATAAATTACACTTTGTATTAATACTACTATATTGATCTCATTCAGATAAAGTAAAGATGAGTTGAAAATAGATGTGTACATGTTACTTTCATTTAATTTTCATAGTACATATTTCTTGACGCGTTTATGCCATTTGGTTATATCAACATTAGTGATTATTGTTATATTTAGTTACGATTAATGCAATTAAAGATTGTTTTGGTTCTATATATATAATCAAATAACAAATCTTTTAAATATATTCAAGACATAAAATAAGTTCATAAAATCTAACACATAAAATAATATATATTATTAATAATAATTAAATGTGTTAGGATAATTTTATTATTAGTTAAAGTATTAAAGTG